GAGAAGGCACAGGGAGCAGAGGGTGGAGAAAAGTATTAGAAAGATTTAATCATAAATGTTGGGGATAAGTAAGAAAGAAATGAAATATATTGGTAAGGAAAGTAGTTACCATTATATTAAAAAAGAATAGAGCAATGTGTCATTGGAAAGGGATAGTAACCATAAATAGAATAAAAAAGTATAGTAGGAATTTGATATTAGCAAGAGGGTAATATAATTAATATGAGTTTTAAAAAAAATGAATATGATCTTAAACCAGCAAAATTTTAAAAGGAAAAGATTACCTTTTTTTTTGTTGATAACATGATTGTAAACCTAGAAAGCCCAAGATATATCAGTAAACAACTTCTGAATATTTTAAGGTGGCTGTGTAAGTAAGTAAAAAGTAAGTAGTTTTTCCATTTTAACACATTTCCTATTCTGTGGCATTTTTTTCCATGTAGAAATTGGAGAGTATAAGTCTCTGTACTTCTGATACACCACTCCTTAAATTCTTAGGTGCTTTTGTTTATATTTCCCCCTTCTGGACTGTAGTGTGAAGCTCAAACTAAATCTGAGGTTGTATGATCAAATGATCCCAAAGATTTATTTTTTATTTATTTATTTTTTATCTTAATATTTATTTTTTAGTTTTTGGCAGACACAACATCTTTGTTTGTATGTGGTGCTGAGGATTGAACCTGGGCCGAAAGCATGCCAGGCGAGTGCGCTACCAGTTGAGCTACATCCCCAGCCCCGATCCCAAAGATTTAGACACAGAAAAAGTTTCTGGGGCTAGCTCTCTGTGACTCAAGCACAGTATAAACTCTTAATTGTACAATGGCAAGGTGACCTTCATTTTTTGATATCTGGGTCATTACTCCATAGCTAGGACGTCCTTTTCAACTTGAACACTTTTCCTGCCTCATGTCCTCCTCAGGTAACAGGAACATCAGGTTCAACCTTGCACATGAAGTTGATGGACGGAGGAAATTACTCAGCGGTGTCTGAATTTGTGTTGCTGGGACTCACCAGTTCTTGGGAGCTTCAGATTCTCCTTTTTGTGTTCTTCACAACATTTTATGTAGCAAGTATGCTGGGAAACCTTCTCATTGTGCTCACCATCATCTCAGACCATCACTTACACTCCCCAATGTATTTTTTGCTGGCAAATCTCTCCTTCATTGATACGGGAGTGTCCAGCATCTCCTCTCCAAAGATGATTTATGACCTGTTCAGAAAGCATAAAGCCATCTCCTTGAAAGGGTGCATCACACAGATGTTCTTCATTCACACTGTGGGAGGGACAGAGATGGTGCTGCTCATTGTCATGGCCTATGACCGATACGTGGCTATCTGCAAGCCCCTCC